CCCTTCACCATGGCCAGTCAGTGGGCGCCTTTGGCTCGAGCGACGAGGGAAGTGACGCTAGCGATGTGGACGGTGGGGCGACAAAAGGCAAGAAAGTCAGCCCGGGGGCGGCGAAAAGCCACGATGAACACGCTGGCCGATGAAGACGACCATCAGCTGGACAGTATGGCCAGGAACTCCCTGGTTCTCATGGAGGACCGCGACGGCCACGAGACCATGCGAGCCTCGCTGGTGTTTGAAGAGGACAGCACGGAGTTGATCAAACTCATCCAGTCAGCGGCCTCTGGTGGGCGTGGGGAGGAAGCCCCTGACGATGGGCTGGAGACTCCCGGCCGCCACTCGGAGCACAGCCACCCCCACTCCCACCACCACCCCCACTCACAGGATAAGTCTTATTCTAGTCCACGCAAAATGCCGGAAAAACTTGCCAAAGACATCGACAATCGCATCGGGTCTCCTCTCAGGAATAGCTCCTCTGGAAGCCCCTCCAAGTTTGTGTTCAAAAACCGTGATTCCGTTGATGAAAAACGTCGGAGCAAAGTGGTGGCCCTTGGAAAACCCCCGATCCACGCTTCCACCAAACGAGAGAAAAGCTTTGACGGCGCCACTGGCCTGGCGAGCGAGCTGGGGCGCCAGGCAGGAAGCACAAACTCTTTATCGTCAAACCGGGATCGAGAATCGTCCCTTCCATCTTCAAAACCTAAGTCAATTTTAAAAGACAAAAATGCCTCGATGAGTGAACGCAATTCTAATGGTGACAATCGGTTCCTGGGCGAGGCGTCTGCCCCGTCTGTGGAGCCAACCAGCGCCGATGGCCGGGTCATCGTCACCATGAAGGACGAGCCAAACCTGGGCACGCCCAGAGAGCAAAGTCCCCGCCGACCGCCCGGCCCCCGCCACGCCATGAGTAAACCGCGGGAGTCGGAGTCGGCCTCGGGCTACCATATACGTCGGTTCAGTCGCCAGGGATCCTCGTCCTCCGCCTCCCCTCGTGGGTACGCAGACGCGCGCTCTCTGGCCATGCCTGAGGCAGACGGAGGGCCGGTCCCCAAGCCCCCCCCAGGCCATGCACCCAAGAATGCCGTGGTCTCTGCTAGGTGAGTCCTGTCTTTCTCTCCGTTCTTCTCTCTCCTTTCTTCTCTCTCTCTTCCTATCACTGCTAGGTGAGTCCACCCTCTCTCTCTCCTTTCTTCTCTCTCTCTTCCTATCACTGCTAGGTGAGTCCTTTCTTCTCTCTCTCTGCCAAATGGTCACTAGTGAGGGATGATGAAGGTTCTTGATACTAACCATTTCCCTGTGTTACTACGTGGTAAGTGGTATGTTCTCATTACGATGCAGTTGGCTTTTTTCCCATTTGTGGTGTCCTACCCCCTGTAATACTGCTGTGCTTCCACGTTTCGTTTTACACCTTTCTCTGAACCATTGAGCACCTAGAGCGACATTTGCAGGGTCTATGGATGTGCACCTAGAGTAGTGTTGCACGGCGTTTCTCTCGCTGAACACACGACACTGCTGTGGCAGGCATTGCTTTAAGGTGGAGGGAAAAGGTTGGATTAGAATTGACTCAAACAAGGTTATAAACCCAACGTAGAGGTAATCTTCTATCTTTGGGTTTTTGAATGGTTGAAATTGACCCAGAAATAGTGTGTGTGGGAATTTGTGAAGTCAATATGACGAAATGTAGGGTGCCTTGATGTTGAAATTTGGACAAATCCAAGGAAACTTTGAAAACACATAAAAATTCAGCTTGAGAAGCGATCTCGACCAAACAGGAACACATTGAAAGTTAATGTATCAGTCGACCGGTAAAATAATTTTTTTATATCAAAAAAATTGTGGTTTTTTTTTCCATTTGACAAAGTATATGGCAGGTATAAAAAGCCCCCCCCCCCCCCCCCCCCCCGATTGTCGCAACTCTAGTGATTGTCACAACTCTAGTGATTGTCACAACTATAGTGATTGTCACAACTCTAGTGATTGTCACAACTATAGTGATTGTCACAACTCTAGTGATTGTCACAACTCAAGTGATAGTCACAACTATAGTGATTATCACAACTATAGTGATTGTCACAACTCTAGTGGGAAAAATAACTGGCTTCCCCCTGCTGTACCGCATGGAAACTGGCATTTTGGAACCAGTCTTCTTTTCCTACTTCATTTGCCATTTTTCCTGATCATTTTTTAAAGAATTTATTTTAAACATATGTGTAAAATTTGTAGAGGATCATCTCCCTTTTCCAGGATTTGGATTTCGGGCATGCATAAGGACAAATCCCTAGGTAGGAGCTAATTGGTGAAATGTTCAGCTTTTTCACTTGTCTCGGAAGGCATCATTTAAAACTGATTTTTGCTGTTAGGTTTTCCTTCTTTCAATAATAAGAAAGTTGTTCATAATATATAATAATGTCAGGCTGATGGGATCAAAGGAGACTATTGACGGAAATGCCAGTGCAGATAGAAAGCTTCTTTCATGGTCAGCACGATTGGATTAGAAAGCTTCCATTTTGCTATGGCATTCTGTTGTTCCACAAGGGTTTGATTTATGTATTGCTTTTTCCACTTTTTTCCTTTAACCTTTTTTCTTGTTCTGGTTTGCTGGTTTGTGTTTTGGTTTGCTGGTTTGTGTTCTGGTTTGCTGGTTTGTGTTCTGGTTTGCTGGTTTGTGTTCTGGTTTGCTGGTTTGTGTTTTGCCGTGGCCCGCTGCCTTTCCCGTGTGTTTTGTGTGTTTTTCTCTTTTTCTTGCATGCACTTGACTTTGGCTAGGTTGTGTTTTGTAGAATTGGTGTTAGCTTTTCTAGTCTGTCTGCCTCTTCTCTGATTGTCTGTCTCTCCAAAGATAAAAGTGTTTAACATTTTTCCTTGGCTACTTCATTGTGGGGTTTTTTTCCTTGCTTATTTTTCAGTGTCCCTTTGAGACTTCCGTGCTGGTCACAATGTTTGTCGTGGTTTGTTGTGGTTTGTCGCTGTTTATCATCGTTCAGATTTGAATGACGGGGTTTTTGTTGCATTGTGACTGTCTCCGCTTTGTGAAAGTTTTCTTCTTGGGGATAAGATCCAAATGATGATTGTTTCCCCCAAAGCTTACATCACAACGTAGGTGACTTCCACGGACAGAATGTGGAAAAAGTGTAAGTTTGGAGGAAACATGAGGTCAACTGTGGCGTGATAAAAGACTGAACGTCCCACAGAACTGAGCGGGGTGTCCCACAGAACTGAGCGGGGTGTCTGGCTGTGCCACAGAACTGAGCGGGGTGTCTGGCTGTGCCACAGAACTGAGCGGGGTGTCTGGGTGTCCCACAGAACTGAGCGGGGTGTCTGGCTGTGCCACAGAACTGAGCGGGGTGTCTGGGTGTCCCACAGAACTGAGCGGGGTGTCTGGGTGTCCCACAGAACTGAGCGGGGTGTCTGGGTGTCCCACAGAACTGAGCGGGGTGTCTGGGTGTCTCTCTTCTCTCTCTCTTCCTATCACTGCTAGGTGAGTCCTTTCTTCTCTCTCTCTGCCAAATGGTCACTAGTGAGGGATGATGAAGGTTCTTGATACTAACCATTTCCCTGTGTTACTACGTGGTAAGTGGTATGTTCTCATTACGATGCAGTTGGCTTTTTTCCCATTTGTGGTGTCCTACCCCCTGTAATACTGCTGTGCTTCCACGTTTCGTTTTACACCTTTCTCTGAACCATTGAGCACCTAGAGCGACATTTGCAGGGTCTATGGATGTGCACCTAGAGTAGTGTTGCACGGCGTTTCTCTCGCTGAACACACGACACTGCTGTGGCAGGCATTGCTTTAAGGTGGAGGGAAAAGGTTGGATTAGAATTGACTCAAACAAGGTTATAAACCCAACGTAGAGGTAATCTTCTATCTTTGGGTTTTTGAATGGTTGAAATTGACCCAGAAATAGTGTGTGTGGGAATTTGTGAAGTCAATATGACGAAATGTAGGGTGCCTTGATGTTGAAATTTGGACAAATCCAAGGAAACTTTGAAAACACATAAAAATTCAGCTTGAGAAGCGATCTCGACCAAACAAGAACACATTGAAAGTTCATTTCTCAGTCGACCGTAATATCATATTTTTATATCACAAAAGTAGTTGGTTATTTTTCCATTTGACAAAGTATATGGCAGGTAACAAATGCC